GAATAGAAGTCGGCAATAAGCCGACTGGCCTGAGGGACTCCCAGAAGTATGCTGCACGCGTTCCTGGGAGTCCCTTATGCAAGGCCAGGTAAGAACACTCGGAGGGGTTTTAGAGGGTGCAAGCCCCACATAACCCCGGGCTCTCCCCCGAGGCCCGGGGTATGAGTCAGGCATTTCCCCTCCGTTATCAAAAAAAAAAAAAAGATGGACCGTCTGACCGCCACGGTGGCCACCCTCGCGGCTGAGGTCAAGCGGTGCAGCAGATCTCAGACGAGAGATGAGGCAAATAAAAATCGTAAGCGTTCCAAAAGCAGAAGCTCTCGTGTCTGCTGGCCGCATCGTACCTTCGGGGCCCAGGCGCGAGTTTGTAAAGGAACCGACAAATCTCGGTGTGATTGACCGAAGCCCAAGGCTTTGACGGACGGAAAGGCGGGGGAATAGAATCGTCTGCCACCGAAGAGACAGGTATGGCGGGCGTCGATTCTTCTATCCGTCTCCACATTCGTGATCGAGTCACCGAAGAGTTATTCCTTGTAGATACGGGACCGGAAATTTCGCTACTTCCCAGCACTTACGCGAAGAACAAAACTCCGACCAATTTCAAACTTTACGCGGCAAACAATACGCGTATAGATACGTATGAGGAGTCGTTCCGAACGCTATATTTGGGGATACGCCCGATCACATGGAATTTTTTGCGTAGCATCAGTTCCGTACCCAATTATTGGGGCCGACCTGATTGCACATTACGGTCTCCTTCTGGACCTTAGAGGTCGTAGACTCATCGATTCACAAAATGTGTACGTGTCGGGCATTGCAAATCGGTGCCACAGCTTGCCATTAGCACGGTCAAACCCAGTACGAAATTCGCGAGCATCTTATATGAATTTCCGAAGGTCTCTGGTTTAGAGCAACTCTGAATTGCAGTAAAGATGTTCGTCATCATATCATTACCACGGGCCCGTCCCATTCATGGTACCGAAAAAAGACGGATCATGGAGGATCTGAGGCGATTATCGTCGTCTTAACGCAATTACCGTGCCGGATAAATTTCCCGCATTTGCACGATTGCTCCTCCAACCTGCGTGGAAAAGTCATTTTCTCTAAGCTAGATCTGTATCAGGCATACAATCAAATTCCAGTGGCGCCGGAAGATATTCCGAAAACGGCTGTCGTTACGCCCTTCGGGTTGTTCGAATATAAATTCATGACATACGGCCTTAGAAACGCGAGTCAAACATTTCAGCGTCAAATCTTCCGCGCTCTAGGCGACCTGGAATTTGTGTTTGCATTCATCGACGACATAGTCATAGCGTCGACGTGCTCTTGAAGAGCACGAAGCTCACTTACGCATAGTGTTACAGCGTTTAGAAAAGTTTTATTTACGACTCAATGTAGATAAATGCGAGATCGGCAAGCAAGAAGTAGAATTCTTCGGCTTTACGATTAACAGCGAAGAGTGTAAACCAACACTCGATAAGATTCAGGCTATTCGCGAGTTTTCAAGATCTAACACTATAATCGAATTGCATCGTTTTCTTGGGCTTGTCAACTTTTATCGTAAATTACTGCATAATGCAGCTATCGTTCAGGCACCATTAAATGAGTACCTTTGCGATTCACGACAAACAGCCATATCATATGGACGCCGATGACTGAAGAAGCGTTTAATAAGTGCAAGGAGAGTCTGGCCAACGCGACTATACTGTCTTACTCCTCCGACGCAACCGAGACGCGCCTTGTTTGTGACGCGTCAGATTTCGCCATCCGGGCCGCCCTCGAACAACGTTTAGACGACTCGTGGAAACCGCTCGCATTCTTTTCGTGCAAATTAAATTCGGCGCAACAGAACTACAGCGCGTACGGTCGGGAACTTACGGCGATCGCCGAGGCAATCAAATATTTTCGATATTTCCTCGACGCGCCTTGTTTGTGACGCGTCAGATTTCGCCATCCGGGCCGCCCTCGAACAACGTTTAGACGACTCGTGGAAACCGCTCGCATTCTTTTCGTGCAAATTAAATTCGGCGCAACAGAACTACAGCGCGTACGGTCGGGAACTTACGGCGATCGCCGAGGCAATCAAATATTTTCGTTATTTCCTCGAAGGGCGAAATTTCAAGATTGTGACCGATCACAAGCCTCTCATTTACGCGTTCTTGCAACGTTCTGAAAAGGCATCACCTCGGCAACAGAGGCAACTTTCATTCATCTCGTAGTTCACTACGCGTATCGAATACCTATCGGGCAAAGATAATATTGTGGCGAATTCTCTTTCCCGCATCGAAGCCATTCGTTTACCTGCCGAGATCCGACTTAATGAGCTTGCAACAAGAACAAGACGAGGAGCTACGGTCCATTCGCGAATCTCCTGAATTTCCGCTTTCTATGAAGCGAATTCAATGGGGACCGACGCATACTACGCTTTACTGCGAAATGACCGGCGAGGCAATCCGTCCCTATATACTGGCATCTTTACGAGATCGCGTTTTTCACTTATTCTATGACGCGGCTCATCTGAGCCCTAAAGTTACTAATCGATTAATCCGTCAATGGTATGTGTGGCCTAACATGCATCGTGATATTATTATACAAAATGGTGTAAGAATTGTCTTGACTGTCAGCAGTCAAAAATAACCCGACACGTTCAACTAAATCCTGAAAAATTTGTCGCGCCCGACGGGCGATTCGAGCATAATCACATGAATTTAATAGGTCCCTTGCCTGAGTCGGACGGGTACAAACATTGTGTGACGATCATTGATAGATTTTCGCGTTGGCCAGTAGCAATACCTCTGAAAGACACTGAAGTCATTACAGTGGCACGCGCGTTTTACGACAACTGGGTAGCAAATTTTGGAGCAGCCAAAACGATAACTACGGATCAAGGTAGCCAGTTCGAAGCACAATTTTTTACTGCACTTCTTCAGCTGATCGGCTGTCAACGAATTCGTATCACGGCGTATCACTCCGCTTCGAACAGTATGATAGAGCGGTGGCATAGAATCTTAAAAGCTGCGATTATGCTAATGAAGGTTGGTCACGAGTACTTTCGTATTATTAGGTCTGCGTACTCATGTCCGCCTTGACACCGGCACATCGCCTGCGGAATTTGTTTATGGAATGACGCTGCGCGTCCCCGGAGAATTTATACTGCCGGACGACTTCACTCCTAGTCCACAAATTTTCATTGAGGAGTTCCGCGAACATATGCGCAAAGTTAAGCCAATTTCGATAGAGCATAAGCACAAGAAACGCGCATTCGTATTTAAAGATTTACATTCATGTTCCCATGTTTTTCTACGGGTGGCGGTACCAAGAGTGCGTTATAGCGTCCCTACACCGACCCCCACAAGGTTATAAATCGTGTTTCGGATCGAATATTCGACATTGATGTTAACGGTACACAGCGCAGTGTATCGGTGAAAATTTAAAACCAGCGTATGGCATACGCGATGACTTATGTAGCACAACCCCAGAAGCAGGGCAATCAACTAATTCGTTCAGCAACGAGCAACCAGCTTTAAAGACGTACGCGCGTCCAAAGAAAAAAGTCACCTTCGCCATATAAATATAATAAATCCTCCCAACGACGAAATGTAATTAGTTTAAGACAGACACCAAAGACACGCAATGATATGTTTTATATAATATATTTTATATGTTTTATATGATACATTTTATATGTTTATATGGTAGACCTAAGTGTCGGCATCATAAATGTACCTGTCACTACAGCAATATTTTGTTAACCTAATATTAAGCACAGGGTTTAGATTCGTTATCACTCGGAGGGAGTATGTAGGCAACTACGTCAATCAATATCTCACTAGCGCAGCGAGTGTAAAAAGCCTAGGGATTTTGTAGGTTGCGAGTTGCCTACAAGCAGCGTCAGACGTTAGATAAAATAAAATAAGACGTTAGATAGATTATGGCGCTCATCCTGTACGCTCATATTCATTTGAGCTCGAGTAATAAAGATTCATCGTTACCAGTTACAAGAAAGTGTCGATCATTACCTCTTACATATATCACATCACACGACAAGCGTGGGCTTATCTTGAGAATTTGACTCATCAATCGAGTCACTTATTCCCACAATCTCATCTATGAGTGATACAGATTACTAAAGCCATCTATTGGAAAAATAATGGATTTCTTTTTACTAACACAAGGGCAAGTCAATAAGTTTTTAGAAAAATATAGTAAAACACATTTTTTTTGATTGATTCATTTTTATTTCTCAACATAGTCTCCTTTCAGCTCGATACACTCCAACGATTCTCTAACTTTTTCAAGCCGTCCGAATAATGATTTGTCTTACCCAAAATAAGCCTCTGTTTCGGCGATGAGCTGCTCTCTGGTGGTGAATCTCTTTCCTTCGAACCATTTCTTCAGATTTGGAAACAGGAAATAGTCGCAGGGAGCTAAATCTGACGAATATGCTGGATGGGGAAGCAATTCGTAGCGGAATTCATTGAATTTGGCCATCGGTGCCGGGCACGTGTGAACCCGTGCATTGTCTTGATGGAAGAGCACTTTCTTCTTCGCTAAATGGAGACGTTCTTTCTTTAAAATGTGGTTGAAACTATCCAATAAGGCTGCGTTGTAATCGCCATTGATCATTTGCTTCGACAGAAGGTAATCGATATGAATTATACCGCGTGCATCCCAAAAAACTGTAGCCATCACTTTCACGGTATTCGCCTTCTTCGTTGATTCGGTGAAGTCCATTGTTTTGACTGTTCCTTCGTCTCGGGTGTGAAGTAATGGATTCATGTTTTGGCCACAGTAATGAATCGACACAGAAATTCATCTGAATTACGTTGAAACATCTCCAAACATTGTTTTGAAATCGTCCCACGGTCGCGCTTATGGTCCACAGTGAGCAAACGCGTCACTATCTTGCCGATAGCTTTTTCGTACCCAATTGTTTGTGCAAAATTAAAATCATATGATATGCTTGTGACCTCAACAAATTCGTTCACTTTCACTCGTCGATCAGTTAAAACAATATCGTGAACTTTATCAATGATTTCTGACGTAGCAGCTTCAATTAGACGTCCCGAACGAGATGCATCACATGTGGATGTACGACCACGTTTAAATTCATTTACCCAATTGTACAATCGCAAACGCTAGTGCAGATGTGCTATAAACATTACTCAACTCGGCTTTGATTTCTTTCGGCGTTAAATCTTTCATACATATATTGTATTAAAAATACAAAGGTTCGCTTTAATCGTCTACAGAAATGAAATCACGCGATGAATTCCGCTCAAAATTTGACAGTAATCAGCTGAAAGATGCTATTTGTCAAAAAGTAATGTGACATGACTGCGAATGCTCTCTGACAGATTTTCTAAGAACTTATTGACTTACCCTCGTATATACTAACATAAAAAGTGGACGCTTAAGATGGCTACCATGACATACATTTGTCCGCGGATTTAGCTACTCCCACTATTAATACATTCCCTCTTGTTTCTCTTTACTCTTTGAGTATATATTAGTATACATATGATAAAGTATAAAATATAAAATTCTCATTATTACTGATAATACTAACCGATAAAAGCTTATCCCATAATTTCGAACTGAAGTTATTACACCACACGTCCTGCAATGTATCATGATGCTCTTTACAATACTTATTAATAATGAACTGGTTTGCTGTCCAAGATCTTTTTTCTGTTAAAACTATCCTATAAATGTCAAAAAAAATGGACGCTTAAAATGGCTGCCACGACATTCATCCGTCCACGGATTTAGTTACCCTCACTATTGATATATTCCCTCCCGTTTCTCTTTACTCTTTGAGTTTCACCTCCCTTCCCCCCTGCTTAGGGACATACTTTCTACACGAAGCGACTTTCACCTTACCTTTCTCCTTGCCAAAGAGCGCACAACTTGCCACGCGAAAATAGAGTGGACCTCGCTTCACAAGGAAAATCGTACACCCCTTAGAGGGAAAGTTAGGGGGTGAAAGTCGCTTCATATGGGAAGTGGTACGCCCGTAAGCAGGGGGGAGGTGGAATGAAAATCACTTGGCGTGGAAAGTCGCTCGTCTCTGAAGCAGAGGGAAAGGTGGTGTGAAAGTTTCTTTGTGTGGGTGTCGTGCGCCCTTGAAGAGGGAGAGATGGGATAGAACTCGCTTCGCATGGAAAGTTATATTCTCTTAATATACATCCACTCCATATCTCTCTCCTTATCCAAAGTTATCTGACTTTCCATGTAAAGCAGGGAAATAATAAATAACTTTGTCTGTTAATAATTTTTTAACGACTGCCAACTGTCGACTAAAATCTGTCGGAGGTCACTTCAGGTCATGATCTTGACAACATATGTCAAGATCAAGGTCATTCATTGGAGCTAGGATCTTGGAACTAAATTTAAAAAATTTAATATTTTCATTTACGAAGAATACTAGTCTATTACAATCAGAGTTAGATGTTTTGATTAATATAATATATAATACATTACGCAAAAAAATTAGGGGAGCACTTTAAAACTTGCAAATTTAAAACTACTGCAAATTTTGTCGCTTTTAAGAAACTAATATCTCGGCTTCCAGGAATTGTAGGACATTATTTTTTAGAGTATTTTAAAGGATAAATCCTCTACTTTAAAATGTCTTAAGTAAAATTTTTTGTTCCATTAAACTGTTTTTTTTTTTCGTGAAAATCAAGAGAAGAGAGTGTTGAAAATGTCATTGTACACACACACACACACACACACACACACACACACACACACACACATACACCGAGCAATCTCCTCGTGGTGCACGTCGGATAATGCGAATGCCGGCGGTACTTAACCAAAATTTTGCAAAAAGAATGGGATCTACTTTGGAACCTGATAACTCAGCTTCTAGGCAAGCTAGAACAATTTTCTTTATGCCATTTTAAAGGGAATGTTCTCGACTTTAAAACTGATGTGGTGATGTTTTGTGCCTCGTCATTGCTTTGCTTATGAAAAGCTGCAATGTCATGACATTTTCAAGACCTTAACCCTTTCCGTTTTCGGTTTTCACGAAAAAAATAGTTTAATGGAAAGAAAAATTTCACTTAAGTCATTTTAAAGTAGAGCTTTACCCTTTAAACCGTGCTAAGAAATAATGTCTTGTAATTCCTGGAAGTCGAGATATTAGCTTTTTAAAATGTGCAAATTTTAAAGTGTTCCCCTAATTTTTTTGTATGGTGTATATTCATTTTAAATAAATTTTATTTCAGATAAGATTAAACGCCGATAACTTTCGGACTTTCACAGTCAAAGTAACGCTATTAATCCTCCCTTAAATTAAATTAGAAATGTAAACTGTAAAGAATTTTTATTTAGATCTTTATTGTTTTATTGAAAATTAGTTCTACATATATCGTGTTCCATAGATCCAAAGTTGTAATATCATTACTGTGTTCACACTGCCTACATTTATATCACTATTAATCGTATTTAATATCCGTAATTACAATTAGTAATTATTACTGACAAAATAAATTACTAAATAAATAAATGCTACTTAAATTCTATTTAACTAATTGATACTGACAGTTGTTATAAAATTAAATTTAATGTATTTATATATAATTTATATATATATATTTTATCGATTTTATGTCAGTAGTTAAGAATTACAGATGTTAGATTAAACCTAGATTTTTAAATTAAAATTATTTTAAAGGCAAATCGTGTTTTATAATTGCTTTTTGTTTTTATTAAATTTATACGATGTTATTGAACAAAATTTTAATTCTGGATCTCTGATCTCCGATAGATATATCACGACGCTACCCTGATGCGATAACAGGAGGAATGGATGTATCGATACATAGAATGTGGCGAAATATAGAGACGAAAGTGAACATTGATTTTGCTGTATGCATTTCAATATATCCTGCTCTATCTTAGTTTTGCTACAATATATAATAGATATATTATATAATTAATTTTTTAATATAATTTTAATATTATGATGTATCTTTATATATTTTAATATTATATTATATTATTTTTATTATATAATACCCTGCTGCTAAATTCCCACGGATCTTTTTATGGATTTCTAGAAAAGACTATAAGATTCTGTAGGAGTTTATGTAGCTACCTGTAGGATTTGCATAGCATTCATAGGTATACATAGAACATTCATAGGAATGCAAATAAGGTAATAGAGGTATCTACAAGAATGTGAACAGATGCTCCATGAGAATTAAAAGGATATCAGTTTGACGTATAGTAAGTAGGCATAAGTAAAAAAAAAGAAGTGTCCCATGGAGACTGAAAATGCTTACAAGCTTCCATAGAATGACGTATGCACATCTCCTATGTTCTAACTCCTATATAAACCTACATGTTCCTATACATCAAAGTGTAGTATCCTATAGATATTTAGTTCCCATGAAGCATCTCTTCCGCATTCCTATAAATACCTATAATATATCAACTTGAGAGAATAATTTGTAACTCTTAAAAACTGGAAGCCACGATAATAGTTAATAAATGAGGCACGTTCCACGTCCGGCAAAAAAAAATCCTGACTGCCATAAAGAAAATATATACTCATGGGTTTTTTGAGTCATCAAACACATCTTGTTTATCACATGACTTTCAGTTTTTGGACTTATGGAAAAATTATCTTAGATTTTTACATGGAATTACACAGTCGGCTACTGTTATAGCATTTTGTATACACACTCTAATATATAAATTACTATTATTATAGAGACACAGGATGTCTGAGAATATTAGTGACTATTTTGGACTATTTGGACAGGATATCTCAAAATCCTCTATCATTTTGCAATTTTTGTAATTTACACAATGAGCAGAATATTTAAAATCGACGCATTAGACAATTTTAAGGTATCTTTGAAAAACATCTTTAAAATATGTCATAAAGAACTCTGAAAAATATCTTAAAGTTGTCTTATGCGATTTTACTCGCTTATTCGGCAACTTTTAGAAACTAATAATTGTGAAAATTACAGAACTTTTTGACTCAGTTTAATCTACTTTATTTGTACACAAAAATAGTTCCAAATACGGGACATCCTGTATGTCATTTAGGATTGCATCAACATCATTCTTTTTCCCATGTGATCTTATAGGAGCTTTTTTCATGGCCTGGATGCCATAGATTCCTATGTAAAACCTTGTAAAAAAATTTCCCATATTATCCTATATATACATGTTGTGTAAATCCTATAGGTACCTATTGTAAGAAATTTAGAGAAAATAGGCATAACAGAGAAGCTATCAGTGTCAGAATTGTGTGGCTCAGTGGCAGGACAGAAATCGACCAACTCGCAGGAGAGACCAGGCCTGAATTTGAGGTGAGGAACGCCCTAATGTTTTTCTCTGTTGTCATTAATTGTTTACACTATACAAGCTCCTACAAAGGTTGTATTCCAAAATTTACTGTCAGGATTGAAAATCTATAGTGTACATAACAAAAACTATAGATTTTCAGTACTGGCAGTAAATTTTGGAACACAACCAGAATCTTATAGTCCTCTATAGAAACCCATAAAAAAATTCATGGTTTACAGCAAGATAGGAATCTCTTCCCATGGGGATCAATCGAATTTACCACGGGTACCCATAGTTAGACAAACCCATAGGAAAATTTCCCATAGGACTTTGCAGCATGGTAGATATGTTATAATCAAAATAATATATAATACGATATATTAAATTAAACTATTATATATAGGTATATGATAATTCTGCCGATAACGCTCTTGTGCTACGAGAGCGGATTAATCCGAGACAGAAAGTGCTCCATCATTTTACAATTATCACAATAATTAATAAAATATTAAAAATCACCGAATATTAATTGATTTTCAACCTAGTTCGCTCTATCTGTCCACGAGCATTATTGACAGAATTATCAAACACCTTATATATTATTGGGTACATCCAGAAGCATGACCGCTCACTAAGCGCTCACTGAACGATCATAGCTTCTGGATGCACATACTGTATGCAAAATATGATATTGTAACGTATAATACATATCATCACTGACAATTCTATATGAATAAATAGGAAGAGGATCAAAAAGATCTTCTTGATCTTTGATTATCACGTTGCCATCATTTTTTATTATAAGATCTCATATCCATGAACATAGGAATTATATCCTATAGTTTCATGGAACATAAAAATAATGATCGATTTTTCTGAACAATTATTTGTGCAATTTCCCCAAATAAAGAACCTGTAATCGTCAAAATTTATAATATTATCAAAATTATTTTTATTTGATAGTATATACCTTTGTATTCCACTTATAGATAAAACACATATTATTTTCCAATTCTGGTATTTTTAAATAATTCATAATTAGCAATGGAGGTAATATGGACTGTTTCTCCTGGACCGATTTTTATTTGAAATAATATACTTTCACATGTTTTTAATCTAAAACCAAATTGAAGTTGGTTTTATAGCTATCGATTTAGCAATATTTTTTCTGGACATATTCGTATAACAAGTTTTCTTAAAAGATCTAAACTTGGCTTCAAATTGCATAGATGAATAATGAATAAATGATCCTAACATTTTAAGTACTGACGCATAATGAAGAAGGTGATGATATTTTGGTTTTAAGTTTTCTCTATTTAATTCTATATACAATTTATTATGCTCGTATATCAAACAATTTACTAATAATGAATCATCATTTGTTAAACTTTTTAATAGTTCTATGTCCAAAATTTTTCTTAAAAAAATGTATCAATAAATACCAATATTTATTATTTTCTGGTATCAAATCTCCTACAAAACATCTGAGAAATTTTACAAAACACAACATTTCAGAAGCGATCATTATTAATTAATTAATTTTTTTAAATTATCATGAGATATTTGTGGTGGCTTATTTGATGAATCAACTGGTCCAAAATTAAATATGGCTAAATGAAAATTCAAAATATCCAGAGAAAAAGATTGTACGTGTTATGTATAATGTTTATTATATCAATCAATTAACATTGGGAATGTTTCTTATGTGACAGTTTAACTTTATTCCAGTTACATACAAGCCACGACTCGCTCGCAGATTCTCTCCACTTTCTCATGACGCCATGCGTGGCGCTCTCTTGCACCACTCCGCACACTCCGCACACTCTATTCAACATCTCCCCTTTTAACTCCCTTCACTTATTTGAAGTAAGTAATAAAATCGTTACACCTGCTTGGCAGTCTTGTGGTTCTTTGTGATCTATTAGTGCCATTTGCATCATTTACACTTATATGACTATTCATCACATTGTCCTTATTCCCTTCTTCACATATGCTACTATCCTTTTCATCCTCCGTGTTCGATTCACCGTTCTCAGGCAAATTTTTACGATTATCATCTAAAATATCCTCATCATCATCATCGCTCAGTAACCTGTCTGGTCTTACTGTAGGATACTTGGTCTTACTGTTTGATACTTAATTGCCTAATATGATTGCTATTTCTTCTTAACACCTGATCCTTATCATCTCTTATTAAATATAATCTGGACTCTTTATATATTTTAACTATTATCGCCGGCTCTCAAAAATCACCCTTCTTAACGATGACATTTTGATTCACTTTAAACAATGGTTGCTCTTTTGCTTTTTTGTCATAATAGGACTTAAATACGTTCTGTTTATCGACTAATTCAGAATAAACAATATTTCTATTTATTGTACTAACTAAGGACCTTTGCACTGTCGGCAATTTGTTTCTTAATTTACGATTTATTAACAGTTGCGACGGTGAATATCCTATATTAGTTATTTAAGTATTTCTGTAGTTTAACAGCGCTAAATCTAAATCTGTCTGCTTCTTTAAAAACGACTTAGCAATTTTAATCTCACTTTCTGCTTGCCCATTATTTTTAGGGTAGTTAGGATTAGACGTTATAACTTGAATACCAAATTCTTCCGCAAATTTCTTAAAGTTATATGAAAAGGCATATTGTCTGCTACTAACATTTCCGGAATATCATGCATCGCAAAGCAGTTTTTTAACACTGCTGCTATATCTTGAGCTGTTTTATTTTTTATTTTTAGTATCTCTAACCACTTAGAATAGTAATCGAAAAGAATAAGATAACTATGCCCCAAACTGCGCAAGTTCCGTGTCGGCTGCCACTTTCACAAAAGGCTTTCTCGGAATATCATGTTTAATCATGGACTCCTGTGTTTTAACTGGCAAGAATTTTTAGCATAATTTACACTTCTTAACAAAATCAATAACATCCTATCTCATGTTAGGCTAATAAAAAGTTTCTTGGATTCTTTTCATAGTTTTTATTTATTCCGAAATGTCCTTCATATGCAAGCTTTAACATTTCCAGTCTCAGACTATCTAGTACAACTAATCGATTATTATGCAGTATTATATTTTCTACAATAGTGAGATCATCTTTAATATTTTTAAAAACATCTATTTTAGCGTATTGTTTGCTAACATTCTTTGCCTAGCCCTTTAAGCAATATTCCTTTACCTTTTTCAGTACTACTTTTCTGTCGCAATTTGAAATTCAATTTTTTTTTCAGGGAAATGTTGATAATAGCTTGAATGTTGTGTACGACTTCAAGCATACTCGGATCTTCTTCTACTGGATCTATATATTATAATCCCTTAACAGTAAATCTGCTACATATAGATATTTTCCTCTAAGGGGGGCAATATTTTACCTCTAAATCAAATCTAAGTAACATTAGTTTCAACCGCTGTAGCCTTTGGGACGCAACATCCGACTTTTTTTTCATGATAGAAATTAAAGGTATCCGTCCAAACAATTGCTTTTTTGCCATAAATGTAATTTTTAAATTTTTTCGCTGCAAAAATTATTGCCAGCATTTCCTTTTCTATCTGTGCATAATGTTTCTCAGATTCCGTTAGTCTTCCCGACGCAAAAAATATTGGTTTATCCGATTGTAACAAACAAGCCCCCAATCCACTGCTAGATGCGTCCGTCTGAATGCTAATCTCTTTATTCACGTCAAAATTTGCTAACGCCGGCGCTTTTGCTAACACACTTTTCAAACCATCTAACGCTTGTTCATGTGCTGTCGTTTCACGAAAACGCTATGTCTTTCTTTAGCAAATTACGTATGGTTCCGAAATTACCATTCCGAAAAATTATTTATAAAACTATGAAAGTAATTGAACATTCCCAAAATTCTTTGCACTTCCTTTTTATTTTGCGTACTTTTTAAATTTAACACCGCCTTTACTCTTTCTTTGTCCCGAACTACTTTCGAAAACTTGTGTTCTAAATATTCTACTTCATTAACTCTAAATTGCATTTTGCTCAGATTAAACTTAATACCAAGTTTTCTTGCTCGATCGATTACTTTACTTAAAATTATATTCATCATGTTTTTCCTTAGTTTCCGTCGAAATTAAAATGTCGTCAATGTAAATTATTACTCCCTCTAAGTCTCCAAAATTTTTATTATTTATATTCTTTGGAATAATTCAGGGGCTAAACTTAAACCAAAAAACCTCTTAAATCTATAATTATCAAATGGTGAATTAAAAGTGCAAAGTTTACTCGAGCCTTCATCTAGCTCTACATGATAAAACCCATTTTTTAAATCTAAAACAGTAAACCACTCTTTACCATCAAGAGACGCACCTAACTTCCCCAAGAGTTGGTAATAAACACAACTCCCTTTTATTGAAATCAACCGGATCTAAGCAAATTCTTAAGTTACCATTTGGCTTTTTTACAGGCACTAAATTACTTGCCCATTCTACAGGCCCCTTCGTCTTAACAATTATTTCTTTTTTTTCTAAATCATCTAACGTAGCCTTCAGTTTATCTTTTAGGGCATATGGAATACGTCTTGGAGATCTAACTATTGAACAGCAATCTGGTTTCAACGTGATCTTGCATTTTTCTTTAAACATTCCTGTAAGCAAATCCAAGTTTTCCTTTATAAATTCCTGCTTTTCTATAACCTTTACCAACCCAACTTTTTTTAGAAAACTCAACTCAACAGTGCAAGAATTTAACCCTAACAATCATTGGCAGCCCATCATTATTTACAATAATAAATTCTTGAGTTTTCTCACCACCTTTTACTCTGCATGCTAATCTAACTTTATCCAAGGGCCTAAATTTCCACCATAAGCTTCTAAAATCACATTTGTTCTTTCTAATTCTATCTTTCCTAACTTTCTTAGTAACTTATGCGGTGTAATATTTACCTGCGCTCCCGCATCTAATTTATTATAATATTTACCTACGTATATTTACTTCCCGTACCAAATATTATTATCTCGAATTATTACATCTTCATTCTTCTATAACAAGCACATTTCATATACTTTTCCTTTT